TGGCAGAATGCTTGAAAAGAACAGTAATAAGAGCAGCACTGTTTTTTTGCTTCAGACGGAAACAGGGAAAGAAAGGCAGGAGCAGATCCTGAATGATGGTGAGAACAAAACAGAGACATTCACATGACTACAGTATCTTAGCAACAGATGTATGCCTATTTTGTACCAAATATAAGAAAGTGGTAGAGCCAGGGATAGAGACTGACAGAATTGCGACTATTAAGCCAAGCTCCCGGGGGACTGGAGGTCCAACAGAGTCCAGTCTAAATCCGGAAGCAGCAATATGACTCCCTCTAGAAATGTTAAACAGTCTCTAATGGCCTACTGGGCAGCAATACTGTCAAATTCTTTTCTATCAGACAGGACAATTACATTACCACAGGCTGGCAGACAGTTAGAGGTGAAAGGAGGTTTTGTTTAGTTTTTTCTCCAGTCCAGAACTTATAGAGAGTGTTCTATCCTTACAGTATCTACAGTATATTTAAACAGGACAGTCTCTGAACAGACTTAGATCTATAGATGTAGTAAAGATAAATGTATTTGGGATTCTCGTATGCAAAATAGACACCTGTACATGTAATTAGGTGACATGTGTAGTCTGATATTCTGCTTTGTTTGTGCCTGTTGAAGGGGCGCTTCACAGATTTGACACATTAAGTTCCTCGTGAGCATTTTAACTCCAGTCAAAGCTTGGGATTGAGACAAGCAGGAACCCTGCACAGCAAACTGGGGTGAAGAGTTTGAAATAAATAGCCCTCTGGGAGGCAGAGAAGAATCTAAAGACAGAGTCGAGTGAGTCACACTACGGGAAAAGTAGGATATGGAGATTCTTTGGATCTATAGTGGGGACCAAATACGTCAGCTTCTGCTGCTTGGATTTCGATTCTTCTTTTTGTTTTTTGTTTGTTTTAAATTTGTCTCCTGTGGGCTGCTCAACTTGACAAACAGAGGATACTGTTCTGCAGGGATGTCTGTCTGCTCTACACTCCCTCAAGAAATCTTAATATCAAGTTTTTGTCCTTCAAAAAAGATTGCTAGCTTATACTTCATTACTTTTCTTTGTGGAGCTGCAACAATTAGTAGATAAATCAACTGATGGTTGATTAATATGCAGTTAGATTGATGATCAAATCATTAAGTCTTTTTTTTTTTTGAGAGTCAAACATTTGCTTGCTTCAGTCTCTCAGTTATGAGAATTAGATTCCTGGAAGGAAACTGAATAATTTAGAGTTTCACATTGCTGACTGAAATATGTCACATTGAGCATCTGAATGTACGTTTTATATGCAACATATTTTTTTTTACTATTTTAATTTTCTTTACAGGCACAACAATTACTACATTAATTCGTAAATATATTAGTATATATAACAATTAGTACATATATCCAGTTGCAGTTAATTAAGAAAAGAATTAATAACAAATATATTCAGTTGCAGTTAATTCTTAGGTGTTCCTTTTTATGCCAGAGTGTAGAGTTACGCCCAAACCATTTAAAGACAGGAAGGGGTTATTTTCGTAGATGAAAATCTAAATATGTAACTTTGATAGACAAAGATGAGTTTAAAGGGGGTTAATAAATGACCAGAGAAGTCTTCAACAGATATCAGACAGAAGACAGAAACAGTGGGAAGTAGAAACCCTTCAGACAAGGTTGATGTAGAGGAGCACACGAACAACCAGCAGCATGGCTAAGTGCACTGTTAACCTCAGACAGCACATCCATGTGAGCTAATCTTTCTTTAGACTATTTACACACATTTGTCAGAGCATTGCAAAGGTTATATTATCACACTATGTCACTGGTGTCTTTCTATAGAAGAACCTTAAAGCCTGCCTACAAATCTGAGTTCACACCACATTCAGAATCTAATGCACACCCTTTCCCCTCCTGTGTCACGCTGCTGAATCTGTGCTGCTCCTCTGCGGTTCTCAACAGCAAGCAAACAACACTGGAAGGTAGGTTTTAGACTTGACTCATTAGCAGGAACCAAAGGTGTCAGAACAGGTGACAGGTGGACAGACATCTCTGGGCAGCCATGGATACTGACCACAACCAAAACAATCCAGAGGAAGACAAAAAAAATAAAAAATGGAGAGAAGCATTGGAGTGAATACAGGTGTAGAAAAACACTCCATTGTAAGCTCTGACAGTCAGAGCAGTGAGGCAGAGTGCCGACTCACAGAGAGGAAATCCAGGTCTGGAGAAAGAGGTGCGGTGGTCTAATATCAGGGATATTATGTGAAGAGCTCAGACTAGAGGCTGTGGAGTTTGTTTGGCCTACCCGAGTGTGATGGGTCAAATTCACCACCTAACTACTGAAACCTGGAGTACAACACTTGTTGCTTTTAAATCCACAAAGCAATGCATTACAGTTAAGCTGTAAATGCATGGGATGTTACCACAACAAATATAATATAAAGTCTAGCACCGACGTAAGGCACATGAAGGTATATATGAGGGTTGATCAAAAAGTAAAAGAATGTGCCTATTAAAATTAAAAACTGTCGTTGATTTAAATGTAGCCATAAGCCCTGCTGAAGCAGCCTCCTTGTACAGTGATACGGGGCTGCCACCACTTCTGCAACACTACCTGGAAATCCCGCTTTATATACACGTCCAGCACCTCCGGCGATGAGTGCTGATGCTCGTTTTACTGACGAGGAGGAAGTCACAGGGCAGGTGGGTTACTTGTAATTGCTGCACTGTAAATAGGGTAAATAGGTACAGGCCATCCACACTGAGTGTTTATGTGCTATAACATCAGGATGTTACAGCAGAACTCTGCCTATAGCTTGACAGTTTGACTTTTAGCGACTGTTTGGTCTGTTTCGTCCTGTACAACCACGTGATGGCTGCTTCCTCTCTCTCTGTGGTAGCTGCAGACCCACCTTCTGTCTCCAGTGATGATTTCTCACTTAAAGGTTTGATCATAACAGCTGCTGGCTGACTCAGAATCGGATGTTTTCTTTTCTGCTTTGCGCATCTACCTGTGGTTACGCAAACACGCAACACAGGACCTGACGTTGACAGCACAGTGTCGCACAACATCCTGATTCATGACGGTGATCGTTCACACGCGTTGCATGCACACCACAAACAGTCTCTGAACTTTCTGACAAACCCTCACATTAACATCATAGCCTGCTGCTTTCTTTGAGCATAGTGTTAATAATAACACACATCCAAGTAAGTGCAAATCAACAAATAAGGCATCTCCGGATTCAAGCTTCCGAAGTTGGATATGTGTCATGGAAAACTATTTGGGTATTTAGGAGCAAGAATGAAGCACCTGAGGCACCAAAAGTACTCCAGATGCTGTAAGTTTCTGACAATATGTTCATATAAGAATTGCTCATGCGTCAATTGAAACACCCACATCTTCACATTGGATTTTGATTTAACTACAGCCTGACACCATGATTCCCTTTATTGTGCTTTCACTACATTTTCATGAATTTTATCTTCAAAAAGGTTTTGACTTTACGCTACTTGACTTGACATGTGGCGTGGTGGCGGCAGGCACAGGTGCTGCTCATGATGTTCGTCAGCTCACATTACCAATTATTCTATCAAGATTTGACACCGTTTGAGGGTGTGTGTGTGTGTGTGTGAAGCAGTTTAAAAAAAAAAAAAAAAAAAGTTTCTTTTGAAATGACTTGATCCATGTATGGTATCAAGAATCATAAAAATTTAGTGGCATCAAATTTCAGAAATTGTCCCAAAACGTTGGTGTACCTTGCTCTGTAGATCCCTGCAACTGTAGTGAGGATGTCTTGTGTGCAAAAACATTTCAGCACAGTGTGGCTTTCATTTTGTATTTGTACATCAGAAACGAATGAGAAACACGATGTTCTTGATAGTTCAACACAACTTAACTTGGCTCCTTGTGGGACTACAGCAGTTGCTGTAGTGTTAGTACTGGACAAACAGTTGTATTTTATTTTATTTTCTAAAATGATGTTACTTTCTATTCATAAATAAAAGTTTTCTAATGAACAACACACTCTGTACTCTGATTTTCTTTAGACAGCAACACACCTACATGATCTCGTTTAGCCAGACAGCACCAAACAGCGATAAATATCCACCCTGCATAAAGGCAGCACAGGTGCTAGTTCGGTGTTTTATATGTACCATGTGCAGAGGAGAATCCCAAACACGCTTAAACTATGGTGGCCAAATATCAATTTGTATAATAACAGAATAGTGTAGAAATACAGATTATGTGTATAAAAAAATTCAGCAAAGTATTCTTCAGAGTTCTTTTCTGGATCCACACCTTCTGGGTCTATTATATGCAGTGTAGTAAGTCGATCTTTGACTTAAGGACATTTCTGAAACGCTGTCATGTCAAAGAACGACTTTTCATGATGCAGCTACCTGGTAAACTGTACCTCTTATGGAAAATGTGTTATTTCATTCAAACTAATAAACAATCCACTCTCAGAATGTACCAGCAAACAGCAGAATACTTTGTCGTTACAAACTGAATCCTGGCGGGCTGACAGCTCGGCCTGTTCTTCTGCAATAAGAGACTCTCATATGTTCAGAACTCTTTGAATGCCTGCTGTCTGTTTGGAATTAGTCTCCATGGCAACGGACCAGACCGTCTGGCTTCAGCATAGCAGCGCCGACGAAGTGCTGTGTTATGATAATAGTTACTGGAGAAGTAAGACCTGAAAATATACGGCACATTTGCAAGGATTTTCAAAAGACGTCGAGTTTTGCCAACTGCAATTTTGACTTAAACATCCTCCTCAACCTGAGATATTTATGCAAGATGAGAAGGATCAACAGTGAGTGCCAACACTGGTGACATTGAGAAAGGGATAATGGAAACATGTGATAGCAAATATTTAGAAAAAAGACAGCCAGAGCTTTTAAGAGACTTATGCGATATCACTGTAGCACATTTTATCGAAGAGTAGCTGTTTGGAGTCGAAGCACAAACGGGAGGTGGGTGAAGTTGTGTGAGATAAGAAGGTCTGAGCCTCACCTTGGGACACTGTGGGACAGAGTGGCCTCACTGGATGGTGTCTGAAGCCTCTCCTCCACGCTGGGCGCCTGAGGACCGAGCCTTCCCTCGGCTGTCTGTGCAGCCCCTGGCGGTGGCGGCGGCGGCTGCTGCTGCTGTTGCTGTTGGTGGTGGTGCTGCTGCTGCTGGTGCTGGTGCTGGTGCTGCTTCTTCTCCTCCACCACCATCTCCTCATCCTCCATTCCCTCGGTACTCGGCTTCTCCTTCCCTTGGTCCTCACTCTCGTTGTCACTCTCGTTGTCGCTTTCCTCGCCGAGGATTTCGTCCACCTATGTTGGGTTTTTTTTTTAAAAAGTGGCTTTTGTGAGTTTTTTATCTTTGCTGTACATCTTAACATTTTGCAACACCAGCATGAACACATACTACACATACCAAAACTGCCAAGAACACCAATGCCTTGCAGTTAGACTAGTGCACATTACATTACCTACTATCTCTGCTTCCAGTGAGCACATAGATGCATTCTGCGACAGACTCCAACCTAATAAACATGAGTGAGTGTTTTGCAAATTTGAACGTTTATTTTGTGGATACTCATTAATAGAAATAAAGGAATGTTCTATTAAAAGGAATAATTCCTGCTAAAAGTATCATCAAGAGGAACCACATGCATTAGCCAGTTCCCTTGATGCAATCCTGATTCCTATTGTGCATCTAATTATATTTGGCAAGTGGCTTTCCTTCTATAAATAACGAGGTTATGTTCGATACTGTAATCCTGGATGGTGATTAAACAGTTAAGACACTAAAACAAGCTTTATGAAGCAGATAGAAGAAGAACAAGAAGAACAAGAACAAGAAGAAGAACAAGAAGAAGAAGACTTATTGACCGAAAGTCTTTTTTTTATTTTTTAAACATAAAAGCATTTGATATGAGGATCCCTCAAATTTCTTTAACTGTTACGCCGTTATTATTGCACATTACATTTAACTTTATATATTCAAACATTTAATGCATTTATGTGGATATGTGGAAATCACTTCAGTTTTCATTTAAATCAAAGCTGAAATAATGCTACTGATCGTATAAGTCACCAAACTGATCTAGCAGGATAAAGGAGAGCTGCCTACGTGACACTGACAACTCGCTTTTTAGGCTCAACATACCTGCTAACCCATTAGTCTGACCTTGTCGTACACCCCTCAGGATAAGAGATGTAAAACATGGCATCTAGCCTGTCCAGTATCGATATGAAACGCTCAGACATTGGTTGATGCAAATCTAAACTCAAATGGATTGCTCTCTGGAGCCACAAAGGTAGAATTTAAGGCTGTTGAGGTGGATAATGCTATACTGACCAGCAGCTGTTTGGTGAGGTAATAAACCCATCTCATCAGATTTCTATCACGAGGAAAGAAAATCTGTCCGGTTGAAAAATCTTGCCAAATACTGGAGACAAAATGTTCGGCTCATCAATCTTGTACTCTTTCAGTCGCTCATAATTTATAATGCCAATGGTTAGTGACCATTTAGCACAGGTTAGCCAATTACAGCAATCAGATCAATGGAAACGAACACAGCCACAGCAAATGTGAATCCTTTCATCCGTTGAATCATTAGGAGCATGTAGCTGGGGGAAAACTGGGATTAATGCAGAGGGCTGTTCTCTTGGGGCTACAGCCAGGATCATTACTGGCACCAGGCCAGGGTCATTAAGCCTTGTTGTTGGTTATCTTGACAGCCACAGCGCGCCTTGGTAAAGGTGGAAGGTAACAGTGCCTCAGGTAAGGCTGTTCTGAAGATATAACAACGAGAAAACTACAAAACATGTTGGGTCAGCATTGGTCGTTCTTCAGCACCATTTGCCACATCAAATTTAAATGAGATTGACCCAGCGGGGCACCAACATATTACAGGGTACGACACAAATACAACAGAAATGGGGGGATCTGCTTGTTCCTGCACTGTTAGCAACACACAACTCAAGATATCATCTCAAAGCAAATTGCTTTTGCCACACAGAAAATGCCTCTTTTGTCACGGTGTATGCTCCATCACAATTTCCCAACAATGACAATTTATTGGACGTTTCCTCTGTGACGTCGGCAAAGCATTTAAAACAAGTTTCTACTTTGCCGTTAGTGCAGGTAAAATATGAAGAGAGCTGAACAGAGATACATGAAAGAGTGAAACAGATTGGTTTTCAGAAAGGATGACTAAAACAGTGCTCCATAGATATTTGTAAGAACTGGCTTAAGACAGACATTTTGGGTGAATAAAATCAGCACTACCATGTTTACATCCATGATAAATGGACAGACACATGCTACATTCAATGATATTGTTTTAACTGAATGACATCGTGGCCACTGTACTTCCATTTGGTGCAGTAACTGCATAGGCAGGCGCTGAAAATATCACTTAAACTCAAACAGCCACATGACAGTAAGCCAAATGAGAACCAGCGCTGTGCTTTTTAGTCTCTCTTGTCTATTACTGTGACATAACTCGGACCACAGAGTGCTGAGATTACGGAGCAATTTGTTGAGAGTAATTTTCACAGTCTGGCTATTTATCATCACCACAACGGAACCAGTCAAAGAGACCCAGGTAACACACAGTCGGTCTTCTTCTTTGTATGATTCGGGGTGAACACAAATGTGTGGAAGATGTTGATAACTGAGAGCTGTTGAAATTACATGAATCCAAACATGGACCAGGATTCAGACCACTGAGTGACCCAGTCTGCCCTACCTACTAGTTCTACTTCCTGAGTGGAGTGTGATGTTACACACAGTGTTTTCCATACACTGATATATTTCTGTCACCCCACCGCAAACTCCACATATTGATTTTGTATGTTTTACAATTTAAAATGGTTGCATTTTATTTAATTACAGAGCTGCGCCCCGCTGCCTCTCAAACACACTGACATCAGACCCCTCCTCTCCGTGCAACCTCAGAATAAAAACATGCGTAGGAGGAAAGACTGTTGTTGGCTTTTCCCCATAGAGAAGACAGCTGGCTGAATTCCTGAACAGAATAAATCTGGAGTTCACAAATGGCTATAAACACCTCTGCGTATATTTATCGAAAAACTGATACACCCAGGTTCACTCGGATAAGTTAGTCGATCTATGTTCCTGGTGGATCTTTCAGACATAACACAGCTCGCACTGCTGGCTACAGAATAGACGGAGTCGACGTACGTATGAACATAAATACACATTAACATAAGTAAGAAACTTTCATACATGGGAACACATAACAAACATGAGCTATTTTTAAACCTATTGCCACCTACAACAAGGTACCTGACTACTAAAACACACCTCACATGCCAAATTGGAGGCACAACCCATTTGAAAAAATGGGTTTACGGCGTTTTGTTTGAAAAATCTGTAACACAGAGCTGTCAATCTAGAATTCCAAGGTTATCATCAGGCGTGTAAGGAATCTAGTGCTGCCCTTCCAGATCCACAGCTCCAAACCAGAGGCAGAGAGACCTGTGGTTTACAGATGAGCATCTGTGCAGACCAGCCCTTACTGTGTGGACATACTCTGCAAGGAGAAGCGCAGAGATGCTCACTGCCGAACATGGCACACATTTGATACCTGTTATACTGACATTTGGGCCCTTCTACAAACTTCCGTTAACTTCAGCACCTCTGTCAAGGTGCTCTTCACAGTGGCTGCAGGTATGAGCTGATAGCAATACTTCACAGAGAGAGTAGATCACTTCACACCGAGGTTACCAGGCCACATTAGTTTAGTACTTAGCAATTAAAGTATTTGCAGTGGAGCTCCTCATATTTAGTATTATTGAATAATCAAATTAGGAAAGCCACGAGGTGCGACAGTTGGTGCACCAGCAGCATGATGGGTCCTCCTACATGAGTATAAAGAGTTGTGAAGGGTCAGCCCTCCTGAATTGCTAATCGTGGATAGAAAACACTCCGAGGACACCTTGGGAAGAGTCATGATGTGCCTTAATCAGGCATGCACCAAAAAAGTCGACAATGTCACTAAACGTTAGCTAGCTAATGAGATGAAAAACGACTTTCCACTTAAAAACTGCTTACAATAATGTCCAAAAAGATTTTGTCTTCTTTTTTTAATCCTATAAAGCCTGAATCATGAAATAATTGCCAGAAAATTTTTTTATTTTTTTTTTAAACTGATGTGGTTTATTGAACTTTCTGACCAATTCCTAAAAAAAAAGTAAATCAAAATTTGCATATATGACTTTTAATCTTTGTCATTTTTGCTTTATCCGGCATTTTTGGTGCATGATTTAGTGATCTATGGTGGATTATCCAAGCACTGCATGTGTCCGATTGAATAAATCAGGTTTTTTAGGGGGAAAAAATAGTACACGAATGATGTAGAAGGGTTACAATGACGTCCAAAGAGCTACAACATCTTGCATCAGTCATGTATATAGTCAGCATTAAGATCAATTCTGAGCAAACAGGACTTTCTTCAGACATTTCCACAGGCATCAGTGGGTAAAGCTGGTGTGTGAGCACAAAATACATACGTTTTAGAGTAAAACATGTATTGTGCGTGCATCACAGCAGTTCTCATCTGCCACTGACAACAACCAGCGGCCCTGTACTGTGAAGTATACCGCCCGTGGGACCTTGTCTGCTTCTGATCACTCCCTTTTAAAAACCAATTTACAGTTCACTGTGTCAGGAAGGCTTCTTACAACCTTAGCAGAAATGGAAGCATTAACACTCCCCACAAACAGCAAAGGAAAACTTCTCATAGCCTCCTTTTTTTTTTTCTTTTTTCTTGGCTGCAATCAAAGGCCAAGCAACAAGCCCACCATGAAAATTTCCAAAGCACAGCATGACGCCCCCTCAAAGCTGGTGTAGAGGCCAGTTTTTGGTCGTACCGCTGCAAGCTGTAAGTTGAGTTCAGTACAAGGTAGATTTCAGGTCACAGAATCTATTTTTGGGTAATTGTTTCAGTTGCTAAACTATTGTTTTAGGCACTGCTGGTAACCACCTGTGGTCTGCTGCGCTGATTTATCTGTGTGGAGGGAGATGCTGAAGATGTAGAAGAAAAGCAACCCAGAAACACAGGAAGGTGATTATTACCACACTACAAAGCATACGCCTACAAGGCACAAAAAATAATAAATGTCTCTTGTTTTACAGAACACACTGATGAACCAAAAAAGCGTGTAAAATGTCCACTGCTGCCAACTATGCTGCCTGTCATTTGCATGCCATCAAAACTACTCTAACCGGCTGAGGAGATGCTCCAACTCAGTCATCTGGCCATATTAACCATTTCTCCCTTGTCAAAGTCACTCAGGTC